GGCTGAGGCAGGAGGATCAAGAGTTGAAAGCAATTTAGCGAGACCCTGTCCCTATATAAAATATAAAGGGCTGGGGATGCGGCTCAATGGTTAAGTGCCCCTGGGTTCAATCCTCAATACCAAAAAACAAACAAACAAACAACAACAACAAAACATTTTTGGAACAAGGAGAAGTGGGGTGAGGGAAGATTTCCTGCCAATGAAGCTAGTAGGGTATGTTTTAGGCACAGGAGAAGTGACAGTGAAGACAATAAAAACACACTACCCCAAAGAACTAAAAGGAGTCCTGGGTTCAGAAGGTAGCAAATGAATGCATATGTGATCAGGTATATGGTCTTAAAAGAAAAATAGGGTATGGTGTCTATTTTAGTCAGCTTTTTCATTGCTGTGACCAAAGACAAGAACGATTTTAGAGGAGAAAAAGTTTATTTGGTGCTCACAGTTTCCGAGGTCTCAGTCCATAGATAACAGATTCTGTTGTTCTGAGCCTGAGCTGAGGCAGAACTTATCAGAAAAGGGTGTGAAGCAGAGAAGCAGCTCAGGAGATGGTAACCATGAAGGAGAGGGAGGGAGGGAGGAGGGAGGAAAGGAGGGAGGGAGGGGGGGAGACAGAGAGAGAGAGAGAGAGAGAGAGAGAGAGAGAGAGAGAGAGAGAGGGAGAGAGAGACCCAGTGCTTTGTTTACCAGCAACAAAATACAAACCCCAAAGTCACTCCCTCAGTGACCTACCTCCTCCAGCCACACCCTGCCTGCTTAATTCCTATCAGTGGATTAACCCATTGATTATATCACAAATCATAATCTAATCTTCTCACTTCTGGAAAAATCCTGCATTCTTATGCATGAGCTTTTTGGGAATACCTAATATCTAAACAAAATAGTCTCCAAAATTAAGGCTTGATGGCTTCAACCTTTCTAGTAAAAGCCAAGGTCATCTGCTTGAGGTTCAGCCATGACAATGGCTTGGAATAGTTGTTGAAAGTCTAAATTGATACCCAAATTTTGAATCTCTTATAGCATCAATGTTTACAATGTATGTTATACTCACCTCCCCCCATGTATTTATTAAAGCAGAAATTTCAAGCCAGTCTCAACAGCCAGGAAGGATCTAGGATGGTATTTTGAAGAGTCCATAGAGCAAGCAAAGCTGCTCCCCAGTTGTCATTGGAAAGCTAGGAGTGGAAGGGCCTGGGGATGTGATATAGTCTCCAAAGGGATACTTCCAAGGACCTACTCCTTTCACTAGGTTCCATCTTCTACAGTTTCTACCACCTCCCAACAGTCTATTCAAATTATAAATCCATAATGGATTAATCCACTGATGACGTCAGAGCCCCATGATCCGATCACTTTTCCCAAGCCCCATCTCTGAACATTGCTGCATTGGGAACCAAACCTTCAACATGTGAGCTTTTAGGGTACGTTCCAGATCCAAACCATAACATAGAGTTCATAGAGAACTTGAGTTAGGTGCCCAGATTCTGACAGGAGGCTTCAAGACACAACGGAACAAGCCAGAAGAAGTGGACTTCCTGTGTGGGGGACCCCCCTTCTGTACTGTGAGAGGCCAACATGAACTCAGGAGAAATGTTCAGCTGGAGGCCACAATAAATTAAGAAGCTGGCTAAAAAATAGCCACAAATCTTACTGTTTTCTGGCAAAAAAAAATCTAAATACATCCAGAGTTCCCTGATTTATCCCCTAAATTAAAATTGTTCATTTACAATGTATATTTAATAGAAGATCCAGGAACAAGTGTACAGCTTTGTTTTTGTTTCTTCAATTTTAACTTGAAAACCTGAAAGTTCAATGACCCACATCAGTCCTTTCTGCCATTTGGAAATTCTGATGTGACACTTTTTGTTGGTTGGCTTTTCATAATCGTGACCAAACTGTCTCACAAAAACAACTTAGAGAAGAAATTTATTTTGGCTCACAGTTTCAGAGGTTCAGTCCATAGTTGGCTGACTCCATCACTCTGGGCCTAAGTGACGTGGGACATCATGGCAGCAGGGCCCTGCAGAAGAAGGCTGCTCAGCAAGCACCTCACTGCTGACAGGATGCGGGGTGAGGGGGACAGCCATGAGCCAGGATAAAACATAAATCCTAAGGGTACGCCTCTAGTGACCTACTTCCTCCAGACCCACCTCACCTTCCTACAGTTACCCACCAGTGATGTATTCAAATAATTAATCCCCTCAAATGGATCAATTCACTGATTAGGTTACAGATCTCACAATCTAATTACTTCACCTCCTGCATTAACACAGGAGCTTTGGGGGGACATCTCCTATCCAAAGCATCACATACCTTATATATTAAAACCAGTGAAACGATGAAAACATATTGAAGCTACAATCTGTTTGTATGACCTACACTTTCTAAAGTAAAAAAATACCCTGACTGCTGTTTAAATTCAATTTTCTACCTTCTCCCATTGTACAAAGCCAAAAATTATTTGATTGTTGAGTGGAATCAAATCCACATTGAGTGGCCTACAAATCACACATTTAGGGTGTTCCTGGCATCAAGAGGGAAAATGAACAGCAGGCTTAGAACCACAAAGCTTCCTGGAGTGCTAATACTACAATGGGTTCATAGTGACAGGATGAGGTTGATGCAGAAAACTTAGCCAAACTTTGCCATCTTTGAGGATACTAATGAAACAGAATCAAGTTTTTAAAAAAATATGATAAAGGGGGAAGTCAAATTTCCATAACTTCACTGGTTGGGTGGCTCACACCTACAATCCCAACAATTTGGGAGGTTAAGGAAGGAGGATCACAACTTAGAGGCCAGTCTCAGCAATTTAGTGAGACTCTTGTCTCCAAAAAAAAAAAAAAAGAAGGGTCGAGTTTGCTGGAGATCTAGCTCAGTGGTAGAGCACTCCTGGGTTCAATTCCCAGTACCAAAAAAAGAAAAAGAAAAAAGAAAAAAAATTCATAAGTCTTAAACAATAGTAAAATAAAAGAGCTTAGATATTAATGGATTGACAGCACTGGTGCTTTACATGATATATGCTCTTCTATGTCTGCACTTTTTGATACTTATATCTAAAACTATATACTAATTCACCACAAACAGAATTATTTATTTGTAAATTACTGAAATTAGTAAATAGATATTTTACATATTACAATAAATAGTAATATATTCATATTTATTTAAAATATTTTTTTCATGTAAGTACACTGCAATTTCCATTTTCTATTAAATCAGTTTGGAATTCTTTATCTCTTGGTTTTACATGGCAGTCAGTGGCAACAGAAGTTGACGCAATTTTGCACATGAAACTTGGATCAAAAATCTAATATTCAGAACTCACTTTTTGGGCACATTCTTCCTATTCACCAAATGAATACTGCTTTCTCATCAGAGCACATAAATTAGTATTTTTCCTTCTCTCAAATGTAAAGGTTTGGTGAAAGTGACATTGATTTTGTTCCAGGGGTCATAGGCCAGAAATCTGCCTCTTGGGTTCCCAACTAATCATGTCAGACCACTCCAAAAACCAAACAGAAAAAGTAATGGTGGAAAACAGGAAAGGAACTTTAATCAATATAGCTATACTTGGAAGACAAAGGGCTGTTTCCAGCCCTATCTTCAGGGATAGGGAAATAAACTTCCAAATTGCACTGACAAATGGGACCAGAAATACCCAGTTCCAGCAGCCCTGTTTAAATAACGTCTAGTTGATCACTATCTCAAGATCCATCAGGCAGGTGATAAGGAAGTTGCTGTTGCCAGGGAGTGATTTCAGCTCACCACAAGACATTTATGGACCCGACCTGCAGTTCCTGAAATCCATGGTGACTCAAAAGTAAAGCAGACAGACACAAATTTGCAGACTCATGTGAAGTCAAGAGTTTTTTGGTCTTATTTTGTTTTCTAAATTAGTAAAAGCAACCTGTAAATCTTGGTTGGAATTCTGGCTTGAGAAGATAATTTAAATCGTGTCGCTACTTTTCCCTTGATCTCGCACATCTTCGTAGCTCTCACAAGCACCCAAGAAAAAACACTTTCCAAATGTCAGCTGTTCAATAAATGCATGGGTGAATCAGAGAATAAAGGTGAAAAAAGTCTCAAAACGTGGATGGATTTAGGAAAGATAAAGAAGCACCAGACCAAACGCTCCCAACGCTCCTCACCCCACCCAGTCGAGCCCCAGACTTTTGCAGGGCTCCGGGGTCCGGGGAGGCTGCAGCACCGGCTTGGGCTGAGAAGCTCCCGCGCAGTCCTGCTCCTTCCCGCCTGTGTGAACACCCGCCGCGTGTCCTCTCAAACTTCTACCCAGTCTAATCCCCCGACTTTAGGCCTCAGGGGACAACTAGTCGCCTCCCATCCCTTGACTGCTGGTCCCCCGACTCCAGCCGATGACCGCGGAAAAAACGCGGAGGAAGCCCAGAGCCAAGTAGCTCCCAGTTGCGGGCCCGGCTCCCGCGCATGCTCCCTGACTGGACCAGGGTCAAGCTGGAATCCTCAAGAATGAAATCCACTTCTCCATATTTTGGAGGTAACCCTGCAGAGTCGGTGACCAGACTCCAGTTTCACGGGAGAGTAAACCTGGACGTCCCGGAGAGCCGACCTCAGGCGGCTGCTCGCAAAGCCCGGAACACGCTTCCGCTCCACTCCGCGCGCCTCCCTGCGTCTCCGGACATGCGCAGTGGCTCCCCGCGGCGGCGGCGGCGGCTGTAGCCAAATCTTCGGGCCGGAAGGTCCGGCGGTGTTAGGCCGACGGCTCGCTCGCTCCTGGGTCATGTCGGCCCAGAGTGACAGTGAGTTCCTGGTGCAGCGAGCTCGGGAGCTGGTGCCGCAGGACCTGTGGGCCGCCAAGGCGTGGCTGATCACTGCCCGCAGCCTCTATCCCGCCGATTTTAACATCCAGGTGAGGTCTGGGCCCGCGCGGCGGCCCGCGTGGAGGTGTGAGCTCCGCGCCCGGCCGCCCCGCCCGTCGCACTCCTCCTCGCCTCCCGCTCAGCGCGCCGCTGGGTCCACACCCCTCCGCGGCGGAGCCCACTGGGGGTCGCGCTGGTTGGGTCGCGGGGCGGCGTGGTGTTGCTCTGAGGCTGCACAGCTCGGCTTCGCCCCGGGAAGGCCACTCTCCCATTCATTCATCCCAGTGGCAGCCATTTGCTCAGCGTCCCTTACTTTCGAAACGTTATCCCAGTGAGTCCTGGGAGCTAGACGGGTGGAAGTGAGCGCAGGGTCACGCTGCTCAGCCCTGGGCAGGGCTGCCACCAGTGTGGTCCCGTGTCACCAGGTGATGCTTTGCTCTCGGGCCCTCCCTTGCCCCGGAGGGGACTGCGTGAAGGCCCACCGGGGAGGCTGGAGGTGGTGTAGAACGTGCCCCGGGCCTGGGTGGTGACGGGCCTGCTGTGTGTTGCAGTATGAGATGTACACCATCGAGCGGAATGCCGAGAGGACTGCCACCGCCGGGAGGCTGCTGTACGAAATGTGAGCGAGCGTCACTTACCGCGCTTTTGTTTCTGTGTGTGAAGTGGGAGTTGGGGAAGGTCTCAAAAGTTCGTCTGCATCGCTGGTGCCCAGAGCTTACTTAGGAGTCTTTCCCTGTTGCTGACATGCCTTCTGCAGAGAAGTCATTTTATTCGTGTTAAAAAGCTTCTTCTAGCCGCTAATTTATTTTGGGAATACATTATAAATAATATATAATAAACATGTTCATTGCAAAAGTTCAAACAAAACTTAAGTGATAGAGAATAAAAAGTGAAGTCTCTCCTAAACTCAACCAGGGTTAAGTTTTGTGTGTGTGTCTATACACCTAGACGTAATACATATAAATGTTTTGGGGAGGGAGAGGCTACAAAAGTGAGGTTAAACTATTCAAATTCTGCAGCTCGCTCTCTTCTTGCCTTATGGATGGAGCCCTTTCTATGACAGTATGTCAGGATTCTCGGTATTGTTTTTTGTGCCTGTAGAGCATCTCATAACCACTCCTTTCTTCTTAGACATTTAGATAGTTTCAAGTTATTTGAAATTTTGTTCAGAATATCAGTAAGTAATTTCGTATTCATCGGAAGAGGATTCTAAGACATATTTCCATAGTTAGAAGGCATGTAAATTTAAAATTTTAATTAATTACCAAATTGCTCTCCAAAAGGACTATCCCAGTTTTTATTTCCACGGGTATATAAAAGTGCCAGTTTTCCCACATCCTTGCCAACAGTGGATATTATTATTCTTTCTTGTTTTCTGTCTTCTTCCTCTTTTTTTTTTTTTTTTTTTTTTGAGATGGAGTTTCACTATGTTGTCCAAGCTGATCTCAAACTCTTGGGCTCAAGTGATTCTCCTGTGTTAGCCTTGTGAGTAGCTGGGATTATAGTCAAGTGCCACCATTCTTGACTTATTAATTGCTTTTTCATTCTTGCTAGTATGATAGGAAAGAATTCTTTCGTACTATTTTTTTAAAAATCTTATGCTACTCATATTACTGGTAAAGTTGAGTATTATTTCAGCTCTTTTTTTTTTTTTGGCAATTTATAGTCTCTGATTTGTCCTTGCCTATTTTTTTTCTCTTTTTAGATAGTTTGTTTTAGTCTTGTTGATATTTTTAGTTCTGTATATGTTAGCGGTGCTTGTCTTTTCATTTGTAAAAATTTCTAAAGACTTTTGTGAGTACTCTCATTTTTCTAAACCAGTTTTAATTTTCATATCTTTATTTTGGTTTGTTTTGCCATATCTAAATATTCACTTCAAATAAAGAAAAATGTAAAGTTAATATTCTTACTTATTTTTTTGGATACTGTATAAAATCTGACATTTTAATTTATGTACATATTTTAAAAACAGGTTTGTGAGTTTCCCGGACCAGCCGGTGGTATGGAGAGAAATCAGCATTATTACATCAGCATTAAGGAATGATTCACAGGATAAACAAACCCAATTTTTAAGAAGTAAGAATGGAGTAATATTTTAATATTGTATAAGTTATCATTTATGGAATACCAAATCATATGTAGGCATTTCACTAGAAAGTCACATCTGTGGTATTGATATAAAACACATATGTTTTACTTTTGGCAACTCAAGTCTGTAATGACACTCAGTCCCTTGAATATTTTTAGATCCCTTTAAGTTTTCCTAAAGTATGTGGAGCTATAAGTGAGACAAGGAAATTGATATTTTTAACACATTTTACAGTGACCAGAAAGTATTTGTAGACCTATGCAAAACAAGAGAGGAACTTTTCATAACTTGAAATTAAAAAAAAAAAAAAATTCTGTATTACTATAGCCAAGCAAAGATTTCAAATTCAAGATAAAATATAAAGTAGGTGTTGAGGTCATTTTAACTGAAACAAGTGCATATTCTCTGTCTCAACCTGCAACAAGCATTGTTGTGACTGTCCACACATACCATTCTTGTGCTCTGGATTCAGTAAAGCCTCCAAATGTTTTATCATATTTCAGTAAACCTCTTATTCTAAATACTGTGGAGTTCCAAAGCCTACCAGGTTGTAAGTGAAACCTGACCACAGTGATTGGCTATTGTTCAGTACAAGAAATTGCCTTACTTAACATATTTTGCTTCAGTATTTTCTCTCTGGAAGACATTTTAAAGGTAAATTTGTTGTACCCAGGTTTATTTGAAACCCTTCCTGGTCGGGTCCAGTGTGAAATGTTACTAAAGGTTACGGAACAATGCTTCAACACGTTGGAACGATCAGAAATGTTGCTCCTTCTTTTGAGACGCTTCCCTGAAACAGTAGTGCAACATGGGGTAAGATTGATTCTTTCCTTTTTCTTAAGAGAAAATAGAACTGATTATTGACAGATAAATCAGTATATTTAGGAGCTACCCTGTGTATTATATTAACGCAGAGAATCCCAGGAGCTCTGGATAAGGTAGATTTAAATCAAGAGTTTCTTTGTAAGTAAAGCTAAAAGGCCATCACTGTTGGCAAACATTAATTACACATTTTTAGGAGTTGTCTTATCAGTGTAAGGAAATAGACACCACATTCTGACAGTAGTATTTACTTATAATATTTACAGTGTTTGAATTTAAATGAGAGCCATAATTCCTGGTCTTAACGGAGATGTTTTTCATGTGTTTCTGCCCTATTCTTGCCACAACTGTGATAATTATTGAGTGCTATTGGAGGCATTGGTTAAGTGCTAGGATTTCCTGAAGAAACCAAATCTTAAATATTTCAGGAACTTCCCACAGCCTGTGAGTAATCAGGATTCAAACCCTTCATTCTGGTCATTCAAACTCTATTGGTTTGTCCTTCCAATGCCATCTTTCTGGTTTCTGCCCCTGGTTAACCTTTTGTAGACTTCCTTATATTTGTTTCTAGGGCTGCCATTATAAAGTAGAAGTGGGGTGTCTTAAAATTCAGAAATTCTCCCACAATTCTGGAACCTGGAAGTCCAAAAGCAAGATGTTAATGGGCCATGTTCGCCCTAAAGATTCCAGAGAAGAGTCCTTACTTCTGATGGTGTCAGAGACCCTTCTCACGCCTCAGCTAGCAGTTGCATCACTCTCATTTCTGCTTCATTTGTCATGTGGGCTTTCCCTGCTCCTCTGTGTCTTTCTCATAAGAACACCAGTCACTGGAGTTCTTGCCTATATGATCAGTATGACCACATCTTAATTCATTATAATTACAAAAGACACTATTTTCTTTAAAGGTAAAACATATAACCATGCACCCCATAATGATATTTTGATCAGTGATGGACTGCATATATAACAGTGGTCCATAAGATTATACCACCTAGTGACTATATAGCCGTCTTAAGTTGTATAAGTACAATCCGTGATGTTCACACAGTGATGAATTTGCCTAATCATGCACCTCTCAGGCCATATCTCATCAGTAGGTGATGCCTGACTATAAAGGTCATATTCTGAGGCTGCGGGTGGATATGAGTTTGGGGGATACTGTTCAAACCATTCTACTCCCTGATCATGACCCTAACTTTTAACCTTCTGTGTAGTTTAATATTTTGCATTATTCCACTTCTACCATAGAGCATTCCAGTGTGGTTGCAAGAAAGATAATGCAAAGATCTTGGTGGATTTTGATAAAGGACTCTACTATACTTGTGCAGCGGTGATGGAAAGATGGCCTTAAAACTCAGACATTTCTGTCTAATCTTGCCCATTCTGAATGACTGGCTCCTCCGCCAAACTCTTGAGAATGATGGTTTTTGTCCTTCTCATGTATTTGGATATAGAGAATAAAGTTAGTTTCCACATTTCTTAGACAATCTGTTCATCTAGCCAGGCATGGAGACAGATGGATCCCAAGTTTGAGGCCAACATTGGCAACTTAGCAAGACCCTTAGTAACTTAATGAGACCATCTTGAAAATAAAAAATAAAAAAGAGTGGGGATGTAATTCAGTGGTAGAGCACTCTTGTGTTCAATTCCCAGTGCAAAAACAGAAAATCTATCTGTATTATTCTAACTCGAGTTCCAATGCTTCCCTAAAGTTTCTTTAAACATTCTATTAACATTTTAATTTTGCTAGTTTAGTGGGGAATAACTGAGACCAGAGTGGTGAAGTAATCAGATTAACCTGGCCTTCTGGGTTGTATTGCAAATGCATCAGGAAGTTTAACTATATAAACTGTGTAATAAAATACATACTTTTTTTTTTTCTTTGTGGTGCTGGGGATTGAATCCAGGGCCTTGTGCATGTGAGGAAAGCACTCTACTGACTGCGCTACATCCCCAACCCCCATACTATTTGTTCATGTAATTCTGACATCTTAAACTGCACACATTTAAATGGTTAATTTTATTTTGAAACAGTTTGGCCTTGGGGAGGTACTTTTAGAAGCTGAAACTATCGAAGAACAAGAATCTCCTGTTAACTGCTTTAGAAAATTGTTTGGTAAGAAATATTGTATTTTGTGTTACTTCCTTGGGGTGAGTAGAGTATGGTGGGATAGGTCATTTGTGGAATGCAGAGGAACTCTTTGTATTATTAAATTCAAGTCTTAAGTTTATTTTTTTCAATCCAGAAAGCATTTTAAACAACTTTTAGACTTTTAGTTTGTAATATTTGAACTTCTGAAAGAATATGTGCAGCATTACACCTAAGTGAGAAGCAAGATCATAGCTATCTGAGTCCACTCACACCACCCAGTGTGAGTGCTGGACCTTTTCTCATAATTTTGGATCTGCTTGGGCATTTTTTCACTGCCTCCTTTTACTAGTGTCCCTTTGCATGGCGATTTTTAAATAAGTGGGCCATAAGGGGTTTTCCCGTATGTTTTAGATGCTACATTAAATGAGCTCTAATGTGGATTTTGTTATTGCCAGAACCCCGGGGTAGACAACCTGATCATTTTTTTCTTATTTTTCCCCTTCCACAGTTTGTGATGTCCTTCCTCTAATAATTAACAATCATGATGTTCGGTTGCCTGCCAATTTATTATATAAATACTTGAACAAAGCAGCTGAATTTTATATCAACTATGTCACTAGGTCTACTCAAATAGAAAATCAGCATCAAGGTAAGTGGGACTATCCTGCAATTTTATTTAGACAGATTTAGTAACATTGCAACTTCAGAAATCCCTTATCAATTCGATTCCTGTCCTCTGAATGCATATAGTTTGACAGTTTTTCTAAAGGATGTTATCAAGAAAACAAAGTATTACATTAAGAGATGAGCTGTTTCAAGAACCATTTCTATCCCTTGATCAAAACATTCTAGTTGCTGACCTGTAACATTAATGCACTTAACTCTTATAGGTATCACAGCTCAAAATTCACTTTCTTCTTAGACCAGAGGCCAGTTGAGATTCACATACACAGTCGTGTATTGCTTAGTGATGGGAATGCCTTCTGAGAAATGTGTTGTTAGGAGATTTCATGATGCAGACATCAGAGAGTGTATGTGCATGAACCTAGGCGGGCACAGCCTGTGACACACCTAGGCTGTAGAGTTGAGCCCGTTGCTTCTGAGTGCTAACCCTGTGCGGTGTGTTACCGCACTGAATACTGCAGGCCAGTGTAGCACAATAGGAAGTATTTGTCTAAATAGATCTAAATGTAGAGAAGGTCCTGGGACAGGACTGTACACTACTGTAAACTTTATAACACTGAACACTTAGGCTACACTAAACTTATAAAAATTTATAAATTTATAAAAATGTATTACTGAAGTAATAAATTAACGTTAGTTTACTAAAGATTTTTTTTGTGTGTGTATGTGTGTGTGTGTAGTACTGGGGATTAAACCCAGAAGGTCTCTACTATTGAGCCACATTCTAGACCCCTGTTTTTCATCTTTATAAACTTTTTTCTATTAATTAAAAAAAAATTTTGCTACACTGGGTGGTGCACACCTGTAATCCTAGCAACTCAGGAGGATAAGGCAGGAGGAAAAGGCACCCTCAGCAATGGTGAGACACTAAGCAACTTGGTGAGACCCTGTCTCTAAATAAAATAAAAAGTAGGGCTGGGGGTGTGGCTTAGTGGTTGAGTGCCCCTGAATTCCAATACCTGGTACCTCCTCCCCAATTTATTTTTACTATGCCGCACACACATACTAGCCATGGCTACGCAGAGTCAGGATCATCCATATCACTGTTTTGTATGTCCACATCTTGAGCCACAGGAAGGTCTTCTAGGGCAGTAGCCTACATGGAGCTGCCAGCTTCCACAGTAGCGATGCCAGTGTTATTTTGGAGTCCTTTCTAAGGACCTGCTGGAAGCTCTCGAGGAGTTGTCACTCTTTTCAGAAATATGTCCATGGTACTTTGCTTATTTTTTTCCCCCATGAGATTTCCTTTTAAGTAGAAATCACACCGTGATCTTTTCTCTCCATTAATGAAACCCTTTGGGTATTGGAACCCATGTTTTCAAGCCTGTTAGGGAACTTGTTGAGGTCTACAAAAGCTGCTAAACCTTTCATTGTGAATTTTATTGGAGGTTCTTCTCTTGCAATTTCCTTTTTTCTTATGTCTTCTTTAGCTCATGTTCACTAGGTAATAGGAGTTTTTCAGCTGCATTTAATCCTGTGGGACTGCGGTTGTGTGAGCAGTCCATCATTGACCGAAGCGTTAAGATGCATTAGGTGACTGTGATGTGTTGGGGTTCTGCACTCTGTTCTTTTGAATGAGGAGTTAGACCTTTCTTTATGAAGTTACTGTTTATTACATAAATAGTAAGTAGTGATGTTAATTGTAGGCTACTTTTTTTCTCACATCTCAGGTGCCCAAGATACGTCTGATTTAATGTCACCTAGCAAACGTAGCTCTCAGAAGTATGTAATAGAAGGGCTCACTGAAAAGTCGTCCCAGATTGTGGACCCTTGGGAGAGGCTGTTTAAAATTTTGAATGTCGTTGGAATGAGATGTGAATGGCAGATGGATAAAGGAAGACGGTAATAGTTTATTTCTGAAATTGCCTATCAAATTTTTTGATTGTGTAATCTTGGGATATTTGTTAAAAAAAAATTACTTTTCTTTTTTAATTCCTTTATTTATTTAATGTGGTGCTGAGGATTGAACCCAGTGCCTCACATACCATGGCTCAAACCCAGAGCTTCATGCATGCTAGACAAGCACTCTACCATTGAGCTACAGCCCTAGCCCACAAAAATACTTTTTTAAAACTAATATAATGCATAGGTACACTTATTTGGGGGAAAATTTTGTAATATTTAATATTTATGCAAAGAGTGTGGTTTTTCACTTTATTAAATGACTCCTAGTTGAAATATAGACTCATAAAAAGATATTGAGTTTGAAGCTTTCCATGATAGTTCAGAGAAGAGAAAAGTTACTTGACAAGTGTCTGTCATGAAACCTTGGTCTGATTGCTGCCCTAATTCAAAAGCAGACATTTTCAGACTACAAAAAATAATTTTAATATGAATAAGACACTTCTTAAAAGAAGAAATTCAGATGGACAACAAATTTGTGAAAAAATGCTGAACTTCATTAGCCAGCAGGAAAATGCAAATCAAAACCATAATGAGCTATTACCCCAGTTAGAATGGCTCTTATGAAAAAGATAAAAAATAACAAATTCTCATTAAGATGTGGAGAAAAAGGAGTCCCACTGTTGGTGGGAATGTAAATTAGTGTAGCCACTATGGAGAACAGTGTGGAGATTCTCCCGGAAGACTGAAGATAGGAATGCTGCATTGATCCATCTCTTCCATTTCTGGATATTTTATCCTAAGAAAATGAAATGAGCATGTCAGAGACAACTGCAATGTCCAAGTTCATTGCTTCACTATTCACAATAGCTAAAATGTAGAATTTACCTAGGTGCTCAACAGATGAATTTGTATAAAGAAAATGTGGTATTTATATGTCATAGAAGATTATTCAGCTTTAAAGAAGAATGATATCACTTGTGGCAAGGGATAGAATTGGAGGTCTAAGTGAAATAAGTCAGATACAAAAAGACAAATTTCACATATTCTCTCACATGTGGGTGTTGAGAAAAATCAATTAGAATGTATAACAGTGATTACTAGAAGGTAGGAAGGGTAGAAGAAAAGGATAGTAAGAGGTTAGATCACAGCTTCCCAAACACAGTTAGATAGAAATAATAAGTATTCTACTGAATAGTGGAAGCACAGTAGTTCACAGCAAGGTTTTCTTTTTTTCTTTTCTTTTTTTTTGAGAGGGGTGGGGTGCTGGGCAAGTATCTTACTGCTGAGCAGTGTTATCCCTAACCCCACAACAACTTCTTATATATTTTATGAATAACTAGAAGAGAGAAATACAAAGGCTCCAAACCCACTTGGTTATAAAGGAGTTGGAAACTAAATTATCCTGCTTTGATCAGGACAGATTATACAGATGTATTGATATGTACCTATAGCAGATGCCTTAAATATGTATATTAAAAAAATAACTTAAACAGTTGCATTTGGTAAATGTAGATTCTGTCGGAGCCTTTCTTTAGACCTTTTGCTGAGGAGTTCAGATAACTGATACATTTTATCATCCTCTGTCTTTCAGAAGCTATAGTGACATATTGCATAGAATGAAAGATCTCTGCAGATACATGAACAACTTTGATAATGAAGCACATGCAAAATATAAAAACCAAGTGGTTTATTCTACTATGTTAGTCTTCTTCAAGAATGCATTCCAGTATGTCAACAGCATACAGCCATCTCTCTTCCAAGGTTGGTTTACCATCTTTTTTTAGAGTTTTCTAAAATACTTGTTTAGTAGGGATGGTGAGGAGGACACAGCTGTTTAATTTCACCTTTGTTTTTGGATCCAGAAACTGTAGAGTAGTACTTGTGCTCTCTGTGGCTGTTGATTTATTTTGACTTAGTTTGGCTTAAGTTGGTAGTTTTTAATGTAATGTTTTATTTAAAATTCCTATGTCAAAGGTTATAGTGGTACTTGTGAAACTAAATAACAAATCACATGTCACTATTTTGAAAAAAGAGCAGATATGGCAAAGAATTTAAGCAGAGTGGATCTCCCTGGGAGTAATGTTACCCTCCAGAGGATATTTGGGAATGTCTAGAGACATTATTTATTGCCACAGCTGGGTAGGGAGGAGTTGCATCCAGTTACCTATTAGCATCCAATAGGTAGAGGCCAGGGATGGTACCAAACATCCTCCAGGTCACAGGACAGCCCAAAAGGTTAATAGTGACAAGGTTGAGAAACCCTGGTGTAAGTTATTTGTCCATTTTTTGACTGAATGGTGTGGATTAAATTTACAAAATAAAGTTTACAAAAATTTACAAAGACATTACCATAGGCAAAGATTTAAGTGAGATGTTAAATAATGTGAATTAGTTCTAGAAAGTTTGAAAAATAGAAATAAGAAGGTAAAGTCACCCACAATAATTGTACTTTTGTGTATTGCCTTATAGATTTTCATGTCCTTATTTTGTTTGGAGTTTATAACCATATGTGCAGTTTTGTTATCTTTTTATAGTAATTTTATGACTCATGCTTATTGTAAAAAAAAAAAAGTTAAGAAACAAAACAAATACAAAGAGGAGTGATCACTTGCTTTCATCAGTGAGAGAGAACATTTATTAACCATTTAGTTTTTTCCTACATATGTATACTTGTTTGTTCACCTATTCAGGATCACAGTGAACAAGTTTTATTTTGTTTTTTGTTTGTTTATTCGTTTTAAGAAATGATACTTTTTAAAATATGTTCTAATTAGTTTTACATGACAGTAGAATACCCATGATACGGCATACATAAATGGAGTAGGACATATGTACATGCATGACTATATGATGTAGAATCCCACCATCATATAGTCATGCGTGTACATAGGGTAATAATGTCTGATAAATCCTAATGGGCTTTGTTTTGTGTGATGATTGCCAAACTTCAGCTAATATTAAGTATCGTTTTTCTTGCTACGTTTTTTACATTGGGTGTTTTCCACCACCCATAGGTCCCAATGCTCCAAGCCAAGTTCCCCTGGTTCTTCTTGAAGATGTATCAAATGTGTATGGTGATGTAGAAATTGATCGCAATAAACACATACATAAAAAGAGGAAACTGGCTGAGGGAAGAGAAAAACCCATGGTAAATCCTTTCAGATACAATTAACAGTATGTGTTTATAGTTTGCTAGACATGAATTTTGTAAAATATAGTTTCAGAACTCAATTGATAAAGCTTATTTGTTCTTTTAATTATACAGTATAATCATAGTATAAATGGGGGGTCTCACTGGAGACAATCTTATTTCCAAGAAATATTTGGCAATATCTAGAGGCATTTTTAATTGTCACAGCTATGCTCTGGTTGGGGAAGGGTTGTTAATTAGGTATCATCTAGTAAGTAGAGGCCAGGGATGGTGCCAAACATCCTCTAGCTCAGAGGACAATCCAAAAGATTAATAATGACAAGGTTGAGAAACTCTGTTATAAGTTATTTGTCTATATTTTGACTGGATGGCGTGATTTTAATTTGCGAAACAAAGCCAAGATGACATTGCACATGGAGCAGGGTGCTATAGTGGGTACTGGCCTCAGAAGGGCAAGGGCCAAGGTGTAGGAGTAACCTGAACAACTCACATGCAGTGCAAGAAGGCTTTCGTGGAGGAGCAGCATTGAAATCTGCCTGTCAGGGTGTAGGATTTTGTCACCTGGAACTGGGAGGTAGATTTTGTTGAGAGGGGACCATGTGCACAAAGACACAAGAGGCCAGAGAATGTGAATTTTCCATCTTCTAACCCAGCTAGGTGGCAAGCCTATGCAAGACAGCGATTTCCTTTCTTACAATAAAGTCAGTGGTGAAGGCTAGTGTGTACAGGAAAGTGGAGAGGCCCTAGTTCAGGAGTCAGCACACTTCTCTCAGTGGTCAGGTAAAGAATATTTTCAGCTCTGTTGTTATAGTGCAGAAACATTGACAGACAATGCATGAACAACCACCATGGTGGTTATGTTCCAATAAAACTTTATTTACAAACAGGGTTGGTCTCACAGATGGCAGTTTATTTTATTTTGCTGTCGTCAAAATGCCCAAAGGGAACCAGGAGCCTCACCTATTTTTTTTCTTCCTCTTCCCATATTTTCAGTTTCTTGACTCACATTTCTTAGTCCTTGAGTAGCGCTTTTGAGGATCCTGGGTATGATGAGAAATGTGCCTTAAGGTTCCATTAATTCAAAGTCTCTAAAGGCTCTGTACTAAGAGGGTGGATTGGAGCCAGGCAGACATAAAACTCTTCTGAATTCTCATAGGTTAATAACCCTTGTTATATTTTCTCTCAGAAATACACAAACAGTTCTGCAGATGATTTGAGGTCTGACCATGAGCCCCAAGTTGACAACTCTTCTTACCAGCTTCTCTCAGATGCCCTGTGTCTGCTCTTTTTTTCTTGCCTGACATTCCTGGGTGGGGAGATCTCATCAGTGCTCCTTGAAGCCTTATGTAGGTGCTTCATGAAGACTTCACACATCCCTTTCTCTCATGTAGGAGCAGGTTTTATTACTGGTGTTAAGTAAAAGTAACGACTTGTCTCCATATAATTCAGTATTTAACAGCCCCAAACCATCATTTTCTCTCCTTTCTTGCCATTCGCTCTCTGGTTCAAACCAACAAACAGTTAGACAATCAGTGGTCATTCTGTCTCCCATCTTGCACCCTTGCTCCCCACAGCCTTTTCTCTACCCCGCAACCAGGAATCTTTTGAAACATGAATCAGATATCACACTCCTGCTTTACAACCTCTGACAGCTTCCTGTGGCACTGAGACTAAAGCCAGAGCTTGCAGAGCCCTCCTGAGCCCTCTTCCTTCCGCGGGTGCACCTGCAGTAGGTACTGTGTGTCCTCACACCTGACTTGCCTCCCAGCCTCATCCCTTGTCCAGGCTGTGCTCTGTGATTTTCTCTCAGTTCCAGGCTGGAGCCTTGTCACTAAGCCCCAGCCCAAATGTTTCTCCCTCTAAAGCCTCTCCTGAGCACTCATCTTAAGGAACTGCCCAGTGGTTTCTTTTTTATTGACTACTATCTATTCTTATTTATTTGCTTTTTGAATTTCTGGCTGTGTCCCTTCACTACAGCACAAATTCCATGGGGCCAGGGACTTTGTCTGGTCCACTAGCGCCCTGGTGGGCATCAGTGTAAGTGTGGTGAAAGAGTAAATTCACATAGATTTGGGTAGTGCTTCCCACCTGGCACACCCTTGAGTATGTCCCCTGCAGTTAGGAGAACTGCTGCTTCAGCACATCCCCTTAGAGCTTCAGAGGGTGCTTATTATCTCAAAAGTAATTTCTCAAGATTTTACAAACTATTTGGAATTCCATATAATTTCCCCAACATTTGGAGTCCTTCACAAATTCCTGGTCTCATTTGGAGTCAGAAATGTTTTTTATAAGTTGCAACAGTTAAAAAATACATAGCATTCATAATGTTGATATTAGATTATCACTGCTTGGGAATAAACAAGACCCTGAAGAAACAGTATACCTGAGAGAGAGGTTTGACTTGTGGAAGGGCACATGTCAGTCCTGAGGGAGAGTATAGGGGTAGATAGAGTCCCCAAGCACAAGGAGAAGCAGGAGAGTACTAAGCTGTGGAAGTGGGTCAGGGGAGACACTGTGGGCATGCTGCCTGTCTCAGGGGACATTGGCATAGGGAGCAGCGCTTTTAGCTAAAGCATTTATACATATTCACAATGATCTTAATGTGGTGAAAATCTGTAGGAATGATTTAATTTGGTTATGGAAGCTGAAAATCACTTAGGTGGAATAAAAGATTCAAGAAGTTCTCAGCAAAATAAAATGCAGTGGAATTGTTTCACCCTCTCTGTACTTGGGCAGCACAGCTGGCTGTTCCCAGGTACTGGTGACCATTGCCTTCTCTGCAGCCCACTCTCTTCTTTGGCTTTATAAGCCTTGAGATGAAGAGCAAAAGAAGTAGAACTCCGACTTGTAAATCACAAGGGTGTTACTGGATAAGCACATACAGATTTCTGACCGAACACCTTCTACGGGAGAGTGGAGCTAACCAGGGTGGCCCTGGAGAGGAGTTATGAGTGGCGCGTTTCTCCGACAGAATGTCTTTGGGGGCTTGGGCTTTGAATTTTTTCGTAGTACATGACTGTTTTTTAGAAAGCAAATTAAATAATGTCACATATTTAGGGGGAAAAGTGAATCATGAAGCAAGTACTATTTAAGCTATATCTCTAAATTGAAGAATCTAATTTTTTGGCTTTTATAAAAACTGATGTTTTGAAATTATTGGAAAATAAGACTTTATCATCAAAAAAATTTAATTTTAAGTCAAAGCTGAATGTAAGAATATAAAGATGACATTTTTAATTAAAGCTGAATTGTTAAATTTAAAAGATTTTATTACTCATAGAATATTCTTTTTTTTTTAAAGAGAGAGAGAATTTTTTAATATTTATTTTTCAGTTTTTCGGTGAACACAACATCTTTATTTTTTTTTTAAGTGGTGCTGAGGATCGAACCCAGCGCCCCACGCATGCCAGATGAGCGCATTACCGCTTGAACCACATCCCCAGCCCGAATATTCTTTTTTTAATATTTATGTTTTAGTTATAAGTGGACATAATACCTTTATTTTATTTTTATGTGGTGCTGAGGATCAAATCCAGTGTCTCACACATGCTAGGCAAGTACTGTACCTCTGAGCCACAACCTATTCTTTGATGTAAAATCCATGGAGGCAGAATTAGCAACAATAAATATAATGTTGTGGCATGTGTCTACTCATAACTTTGAATTTATTATGTTCACATTTTCAAAGCAGAGTTCAGATGACGAAGAATGTTCGACAAAAGGAAGAAATCGTCACATTGTAGTTAACAAAGCAGAACTTCCAAACTCCATTGAAGTGTTAGAAAGCTTTAAATTGGCCCGGGAGAGCTGGGAGCTTCTCTATTCCCTAGAGTTCCTTGACAAAGGTGAGAATGTGCTTGTGATATTGGTGGTGTTTAAGTTTTTTTATATAAAATCATGGTAGAAAATCATGTTACTTGAAATGTCAAGTGTATTATGGCTAATTAAACTGATTACAGAAGCTCACACATTTTATAGAAATCTTTTTTGAGCAGAATATCTTTTTAGTTAACATTTAAACAACTGTGGACTTCTTAGCTCCCACTCAAAGGGTCTGTTATAATCAGATTGGGGTGGCCTTGAGGGAGTTTCAGTCTTTCTTTTTCTTTAATATTGTGTTGCTGGATTCCTATTTTTGTTTGTGTTTCTGGCTGGGTTTCTTTGAGTTGTTCTTTCTTGTTGTTTTGAGTCTTCTTCAGCTGTATGTGTCTAAGAATGCAAAAGGTATTTCAGTTTTTATCTTCACCGACTCTGTTGCCTAGAACACTCATCCAAAAGCTGTAAAAAAAGCATTTTTTAAAAAGTATGGACATAAGATTAGAGGTGTTTTTATTTGCATAACATTTAAGTCTTTGAACATTACTTAGAGTTCACTAGCTCTTTGCTGACCAAGCATCATTACTGTACTTTGGAATCAAGGCCTGATGCTTTCCTTGTAGCAATGGACACTCCTCCCAGCCTCCTGTCACATGCTTAGATAGAGCCCGTGGGCAGGTGTGTCATGTTGTGTTTCCTAGGTCAGTGAAGCATCAAGCAGTTTCTCTTTGTTGCATCTAAAGTAGGAATATATATTGACCATTTGAAGGAGATTTTTCCCATAATTATAAACTTATTTTTTAAAAACTTCTTAGTATCATTGTATGTTTATTGTTTTAACTGGGTGAAAATGAAGTGGACCTTTTCAGTGGAGAGTAAAGTAGTTTGGAAGATAAATAAGGTAATACAAGAAGAGCACAGCTCTTGGCACATAAAGTGTGTTTGCACATGTTGGTGTCTCGTAAAAAATGCTGCTTTTGTGTTACTGATAAGAGTTATGTTCTAACTTTACTTTCCAACTGAAGCTCTGGAATGTGGTTTTAGAAATTAGTCCGAAGTTACTGTGCAGCTCTTGGTAATTTATCTGTTGTTCTTACTTGCTGGGTTTGTTAGTTTCATTTCCCCTTCTATGTTACATGTTTTTGGTGAATTTGCTTTTGAATTCTCACTTAGAATTTACAAGAATTTGTTTGGCATGGAAGACGGATACGTGGCTATGGCTAAGAATCTTCCTCACGGATATGATCATCTACCAGGTAGAGCGGTATGCGGGTTCCCGTTTCTGCACAGGATGATGATTGTCTCAGTCAGACTTTAACCTACAAGGTGCATTGTGTTCCCCCATGGGCTGCGTTGTTGCTCATTCACAAGGCTCAGTTTTCAGTGGCTAAGGGATTACGATCCACTTTCACCTCCAAGTACCTCCAGAGTGACCAGGCCATCCCTTCTCATGTTGCCCTTGGCGTGTCCAGGCACAGTGGAAGTGCAATTTTTAGTTTCAATAGAAGATGAATACTTCTCAGCCCTTTTTCACTCTGCTCTGGTGGAATCCAGCCTGCCCTTCACCAGCTTCTTAGACCTAGAATAGTGAACGCAGACAATTTGCTAATGAGATGTAGAAATGGAGAGGTTGCTGCAGCCGACCTTCTTAAAGGACAAATGGCGTTAGTAGTAAAATACTTCTGTCAAGAGCTTGTGTTACTCTCTCTAGTTTTAAGACTTAAGACCAGGAAGGAAGGTCTTTGTATAGTCAGCTTCCATATCTGGGCATTCTGCATGCACTGATTCAACCCACTATGGATAAAAATGTTTGGAAAACAGATCATGTCTGTATTGAACCCACAGACTGTTTTTCTTGTCATTAGTCCCTGAACAATATCAACTATATGTCTAATACCTACATTGTATTATGTATTGTGAGTAATCAAGAGATGATTTAAAGTGTGAAGGAAGAAGTATGTAGGCTATATGCCAGTACTACATGGTTTTATGCAAGGACCTTAAGCACCTACAGATTTTGGTATCTGCCGGGATCCTGGAACCAATCCCCTGAGGATTCCCAGGGATGACTGTATTATAAAACACTTCCATAATGAACTTCATGTAGCTTTAAGTAAGTCGATTAGGTTCTATTGCTGTGTCCTTTTGTTCTGCTTAGCTGATGCTACAGAGGTCACTTATTTGTAGTTGTTTCCTGGTAGCAGTATTTACTCTGGGAGCTTTGGGTGTTTGTTGGGTATTAATGGCATTGTTTATTCCTCCTGCTGTTCTCTCTCTTAGGGTCAATATAAAAAGGCGATAGCCAGCCTCCATCATTTAGCAGCTCTCCAGGGATCACTCTCTCAGCCACAGATCACAGGACAGGGGACTTTGGAGCATCAGAGGGCACTCATCCAGCTGGCGACCTGTCACTTTGCCCTGGGGGAGTACAGAGTAAGTGCTAGGCACCTTGCGTGGAGCCCGAGGTATTCCAGACCACCCTGCGCTTTCTCTTCCCTAGAATGGCTTTCTAATTCAGTGCATGTTTTTCTGCATTTGATCTTTCTGCCTGGATTAGTACTTAGTCTGTTGGCAGAAACCACAGTGATTTCATTTTACTTAATTTTCTCTTTACTATAACTTCCCTGAAATTAGTTCAGATTTCTTATTCATGGTTCAATTTTGTTGGAAGGCAATTTAAAAATTTTTTTTGCCTGGTATCTCTTTATTTTATTTTTCTTATTTATTTATTTATTTTTCAGCGTCACATCTCTTTAAAGTGTAATCAGTTCTCTTGCGCTTAGAAAGAATAGGCCTTCACTAATGGGAAATGGAGGATTGATATTTAGCTCATCCAGACCTCAGGATCTCTTTTTGGGTGTTGAGGACACCATAGGGTATTGCAGGAGCAGGTTTGTGAATGGATCTGTTTGCTCCCAGAGGCTGAGTCCTGCTGCAGGGCAGGGACCACATTTTTTACCTTTGAATTTCTTATAACAGCTACCACAGTGATTTTCACAGCAGGAATACACAATAAACTTTTTAATTCAATTAAAATTAGATTTTTTTATGTATGTATGTACTGTATAAATTCAAGGCCACTATTTAACACACAGATTCTTATTTTTTTTCATGTCTATGTTAAATTTGTTACTTTGTGATTAAAGTCCCTAATTTTTTAACTTGAACTCTGAAATGATTTATAATTGCTGTGATGATTTTTGCAGAAATAATTTGGTAATATGTAAACTATGAACATTTAAAATTGAAGATGCTTTTCCATTATTACTCATGCAGTTATCAGGTACTTGATTCTAAGTTTCAGTTAATTCCTTTTGAGAACTTGAAAGAGCACAATTTATCCTCAGGTATATGTATATGTATACAGGTATATGTATATGGATACACACACGCACGTATACATGCATACATATATAAAAATATATGCCACATAGAATTACCAAGACATGGCGTACTGCTCTTCATTGTACTAAGGTATATAACATAAGTTTATAGATGTTATTAGGCCAGGGATTCAGGTTCCACTTCTAAGCTGACCACTCTCAGGCCTCTATTGCAGTGGTAACTTACCAGATCTCCTGAATCTCTGGATGCCTCTCTTCAGCTCAGACTCCATCCATCCAGGTGTGAGTTTTCTTAATTCTCTGGCTGTTTTAGTCTACTTAGGCAGCTGTAAAAATAAAGCCATAGCCTGAGTCGCTCATAAAAATAGAAATGTACTTCTCACACTTCTACAGGTGAAGTCCCAGGTCGAGGTGTGGGCAAAGTCAGTGTTTAGTAAGAACCTGCTTTCTGGTTTATAGGAGGGACAGGGGAGCTCTCTGGGGTCCCTTTTGTAAGACCCTCATGACCTACTCACCTCCCATAGGCCTACCCTCCTGGTACTCTGACTTTGGATGCTTGGTTTTAATATATGAGTTTTAGGGGGGGATGGGAGGGGGAGTACGCACCACAGACATTTAGACCATAGTAGCGACCCTTAGATGTGCAACTCTGAGTCATGGTTCACTCTTGATCAAGCCAGTCTTTCTAATTCTTCCAGTATGACATTAAAGTATTTTCATTGTCCCCACCCAAATCTCTGCTTTTCAACTGAGGAATAGTCTTTTTTCCAAACTTATAAAATCATGGTCATTGTGTCTAAGATAACTGCTTTCCTCGTTCCACCTAACTGAAGTGTTAGCTTTCTATGAGCTCAGTGTTGGACCAGGCTTTGGGGTGGGGTGTATGGGATCCTTGCATCCAGAGGTGGCACAACTGGAGTTGGAGAGAAAGTGTGAATATTTATCTAGGTTAAAATAAAATATTGTTAAGCCCAGGCATTTGCACAGTAGACATTTGGGGAAGGCACTCCATGTACTGGCTCTGGGATGCTGGGCCAGTTGCCTCCCTTGGACTGACTGCCTCTTAACCACCAAGCTACCCGTCTTTAAGCTAGAGTTTCACGACCCCATGGCCACTGATGGGTCCCAGATGTGCTAAGATAGGGATTCCTCAGCCCTCAGGGCAGTCGGCAGTGGCCTAGGGCAGCTAGAACTGCCCACGATCAGTGGCCGCCAGCTTGGAGCAGCCATGCAAACACTGTTTTCTGGGTTTGCTAAGCCATGAGGAAGGCTGGGAAGCATGGGTTAAAGCTCCTCTCCTCATGGGCAACATGGAGATAATAAAGGGTTGCTCCCTGCACAGAAGGTGCTCACTAAAGGGAATCTGGCCACTGGCATTAGAATTGGAATAGACAGAAAGCTGGTGAGCAGCAGTGCCACTCCCCTGGGGATCCAGCCTGCTCCCAGGCATTCCCTGCTTCTCTCACCTTAGAGTCTGCATCTGTACGGTCCCTACCCTCTCCTCAAGTAAACTACCCAAACCAAGATGCGGCCCTTCCTCACATCTCCGTCTCCTGCTTTCACAGCCTCTTTTTCTCCTAGAGAATCCCCCCTGCCCACCGTAAAGCTGGGATCAGGATGACCTCTGTGCCCAGAGCTTTTCCTGCTGTCTGGCCAGTGTGTTTCTGTTATTTTTCTAGCCTGTGAGTGCATGGCTATGAGGCAGGGCCACCCTTCTTCTAGATCCTGCTGTGCTGTCGAACACTTGGTGATTTTGTTAATACTTGGTTAATTTTTAAGTTTTGTCCTTTTGTTTTCTAATAGCAAAGAATGGATTCTCGTCCCCTCTAGTGTGTAGATTAAATCTTGCTGTTACTTTTTTGGTACTTGCTGTGAGCCAGTGGTGGTGCTCCCTGGGAGACCATGGTATTAAGGCAGTATCTCGGTGCCTGGTTATTTGCTAGAAATATTGGTCATTCTGTTTATTTGATTCAGTTCAGAAAGCTCATGGGGTTCATTCTTTTTGGTTTTATGTTCCTCAGATGACGTGTGAGAAAGTCCTTGACCTGATGTGCTACATGGTACTCCCCATTCAAGATGGAGGCAAATCACAGGAGGAGCCCTCAAAAGTGAAGCCCAAATTTAGAAAAGGTACAGTGACAAGTCTTACTGTTCTTTGGTAAAAACAGCTGTAGGACGTAAGGCTGAGGTGTACTTTACAGTTCCTAGTGAGACGACAAGATTGCAGGGCTCCCCAAACTGGATTTTCTGGAAAGCTAATGCCTTCCCAGATTGTTCTTCCCAGAGAGCAGCTGTCAGCCCATCTTCCAGAGCCCCCACTTCCTTGGTGTGTATCTCTGAAGAATATCAGTAAACTCTTTCCTACTGTGGCAATTCCAGGAGAACTGTAGATGACTGAAGTCTGTCTCCGCACAGCCCTTGAGGGCCATTTTGGGCTTTACGTCAACTTTCACATTGCTTGAAAAACTAAATTTATAAGTAAGTTTCTATCTTAAAATTAGAACAAGATAAGCAAATTAAGCCTAAAAAACACCGAAGATGGGAAATTATAATTCAGGAACGGAAATCAATGATGTGGAAACAAAATAAGGAAAATTAATAAATCCCTAAATAGTTTTTTTTTTAATTTTCATAAAATTGATAAACCTCTAACAAAATTAATCAGAAAGAAGATTAACACAAGTTATTATTCTCAGGAATGAAAAGGTAAATGTCATTAAAGATTCTACTGACTTCAAACGATAGTAAGAGAATCATTTATGCCAATAAATTTAACCATTTAGATGAAATGGAGAAGTTCTTTGAAAAGCACTACTTACCAAAACTGACAGAAAATAATGTCGAAAAAATGAATGTCTTTATAGCTAAAAATTTAAGTTTGTCATCCAAAACCTTCCCACAAAGAAAATTGTAGGTCCAAATGACTTTACTGATGAATTTTATCAATTTAAGAAGATATATCACCAATCCAATTCAATTTCTTTCAGAAAAGATTACTTGCTCATTTTTTAAGGCCAGCATAACCCAATAGCAAAATCAAATAAACATTTACAAAAAAAAGAACATTAAAGGCCAGTCTCTACCATGCATGCAGATGCACATACTTAATGAAATATTAGCAAATGGAATATAGCAATGTGTGAGAAGGATAATACATAAGACCAATGTGCCAGGAATGTAAAGGCAGTTTAACATACCAAACAGTGTAGTTCATCACGAAGCAATTAAAGGAGAAAAATCATTCTGATTCTTAATGGACACAGAAAATAGTACCTATTTGTGATAAAAATAATCTTAGCAATCTAGAAAAAGAAGGAAATGTTCTCAAAATCTGTGTGTGTGTGTGTGTGTGTGTTTGGTACTAGAGATTGAATTCAGGGGCACTCAGCCACTGAGCCACATCCCTGGCCTGATTTTGTATCTTATTTAGAGGTGAAGTCTCACACTGAATTGCGCCTCACTTTTGCTGAGGCAGGCTTTGAGCCCGCGTTCCTCCTTCCTCAGCTTCCCAAGCCGCTGGGAATCATGTCTAACATAAAATATTGAATCTTTCATCTAATACAGAAATGTCTGCTCTCATCACTCCTGTTCAACATTCTGGAGATTATAGCCAGTGTAGTAAGGCTAAGAAATAGGAATAAAGGCTTTAAATATTTAAAAAGACTATTCATAGGTGTGACATTACAGTCACATACTTGGCTATGTAGGAGAAAGCCTGTGGAATCTCCAAAAAGCTACTAAAACTAATGGGGAGAGCCAAAGATGTATTGCACGGGCAGAGAGCTTGCCTGTCATGCATGAGACCCTGGGTTTGATCCTCAGCATTGCAAAAACAAAACAAAAAGTAATAGGTAAAATTTCCAAGACACTTCAATGCAAAAGAGTAAATTCAAATCATACATGGTAGTAATAAGCAATCGAAAAATGAATTTTTTTGTTTCTGTTTATAATAACCTAAAAAATAAGGCATACAGGAACAAATTCAATAAAAGACATGTAAAACCTCCACTTCGTATATTATGAAACGTTTCTGAGAGAAATTAATGTTGAACTTTGACACTTGATAGATCACATTTACAAAGTCAGAAGATTCAGTTTTGTTAAAGAACCATTTCTCCCTAGATTTGTCTATAGATTCAATGTAATCCCAGCAAACCCCAGCAGACTTTTTTTAAGGGACACACTGAGTATAAAATCTATATGGAAATGTAATCTAGAGTTATGAACACAGTTTCAAAAAAGACAAAATTGGATGGCTTAGGCTACATGATAAGTACTACTCAGTATAAAAATGCAGCTGTCAGAACGGTATAGGTGTAACAGTGGAGAATCCAGGCGTAGAGCCACACAGATATGGTCAGATGATTTCTGACAAAAGTACCAAAGTAATTCAGTAAGGAAAAGAAGCCTTTTAACAAATGGTGCTAGACAAGTTGTTTTATGGTTGGTTTAAGTTTTCTATAACAGAGGTTTTTAAAGTAATCAATTCAACCCAGACTTCTTAAAAAATCAAGTATCCATGAGAAACAGAAGCAGATCGGGTGGGTCAGATGATTGAGTCTTGACCAGTGGAATAGCAGAGAAAACTGGGAGGTTCAGGGGTAGCTCATTGGTAGTTCTATCACCACACTGCAAAAATGAAACCCCAAATAAAAAAAAAACAAGTGACATTACAATTCAGTAAGGAAAGAATGCCATTATCCAGTAAATGATACTGAGACAGGTAATTGTTCAGTTGTAAAAAAATGGGATTCCTCTTTCACACTACACAAAAATCTTTTAAATTTTAAGATTTAAATGTGAGAATTAAAATTTTTGAACTTTTAGAAGAAATATTTTTATGCCTTCTAAGTAGGTTGGTCTACAAAGAGCACACACTATGGAGGAAAAAAATGAGTAAATTTGTCAGATTAAAATTTAAATGCCAACAAAAGATATTATGAGTAAATTGAAAAGATAAGCCATAGAATGCCAGGAAATTGTCTAACACATAAAAATATCCAGTTCAGATCAATGAGAATAATGAACCAACCTCACATCATAAAATAAGCAAAGGATATGAAGAACAGAGTAATCGAGGCAGAAATTCAAATTACCAAAAACTATTTTAAAAGGTTCTCCTCCTGAAGTGGCAATACTTATTTCTCAGGACAGAAGGTGTGTAGAAATGTACAGCCATTTTTGAAACTATTTGAGCATTACCAAATTGAATATATTATTACCTAGTTATTTACCTCATCTCCTTGTTGCGTACTTTAGATTGGTGTTTGTCAAACTGGATCCTCACCCACTGGATCATGAGTTTCAAACAGTAATTTTCTTTTTTTTTTTTTTTTTTTTGGTACTAAGGATTGAACCCAGGGGCATTTAATCACTGAGCCACATCCCTAACCCCTTTTTATATTTTATTTTGAGACAGATATCAAAAGTTGCTTAGGGTCTTGCCAAATTGCTGAGGTTGGCTTTAAACTTGTGATCCTCTTGCCCCAGCCTCCTGAGCTGCTGGAATTACAGGTGTGCAGCACCGTGCCTGGAGGAATTTTCTTTCTTAATAAAATAGAATATTTTTCAATGTCTGCAGCTAAGTATTATTTATAAATATTATTTCATAAATCTTTTGTTTTGGATATAAAACAAGTGTTAAGTTTGTAGAGGATCCCCAGGTAAAAAAATGTATCAGGGAGAGCAAAAATGAAGGATTGATTTCTTGCTGCTACTTGCCTCTGGGTAGAGAAGGCTGTTGTACATCAAGAACACAGACCATAAATGAAGAGATTGGGATCTTTGTTTAAAAGCCAATGCTTGTTTTTTTTTCCATAGGTGCACAAGAAAACATATATAAGAATATTTATTTTTAAAAAAAGAATATTTATTTCAGCATTGTTGGAAACCTCAATATCTACCATCAAGAAAACAAATCTATTGTGATATATGTAAATATCAGAATACTATAAAACACTGAAAATGAGTGAACTGTAGCTACATGGATTATTATTGATAAATCTGAAACACATGAGTTAAAAAAAAGCACCTTGTGAAAGGATTCATAGAGTATGCCACCATTTCATATAGTATGCCAAAAATGTGCAAAACATCCCTCTAGCTTTTATGAATGCAGACTGATGAGGAAGAGTTTGCAGTATGTGTGGGAATGACAGCCACCAGGCTGAGAACTGTGACTACCTCTGGAGAGGACAGAAGAGAATGGTATCAGAAAGATACACAAGAAGCTTCAACTGACTTTGAAATACTTGGTATTAAAATCTTTTAAAATTAAGCAAAATATTAATGTTTTATAAAACTGTGTGATGAGCACAGTGTTTACAATATTCTCTCTTTCAGTTTCTGAATATAGTTGAGATGTTTTATAATTTTAAAATCAAATCTTTATGTGAGTTTAGGAAAGAAAAAAAAAGATTGCAAAATGAAGCTAGAAACCATTAGAAACCAGTTTCACCATCCCAGAGTATAAACTGTGGCTTAACAGTACTAGGAACCATGTGACTGTTGCTTATCCTTTTTATTGTTAGAAGGAAAGCTTCTTGAGTATTTGCTTTTTCAAAGCTGTTTTCTTGGATTATAGCATTCATTAACATTGTGGACTCTTGTTAGGTTCTGATCTGAAGCTTCTGCCCTGTACCAGTAAGGCTATTATGCCATACTGCCTGCATTTGATGTTAGCCTGTTTTAAGGTAAGCCTTAAGTTGATTAGCATAAAAAACATTTAATTTGCAATAATGTCTTGGTGACTTGGAATGACTTGAATTGAGAACCTTATTAATGATTGTTAGTTTATTACTTCTAAAGGGCAGGTTGATATAGAGGGAAAAACACAGGGGCTAGGAATTAACAAATATTAAATAAAAACTGTAGTTGATAAAGGTGAATAGGGAAGTTTACAAATAATAGTGGAACAGATTTGCAAATAACCTTGCCTATAGTAAGGCTCAGTAAATATTTTGTAAGTTAATATACAGGTCAGACTATATTTAGCTCTAGAAGAAAGGAACATAAATGCCACTTGAGTTTGTAGAGGGATGATAAGTTTATTATAAAGATATAGAGGATAAAGACATTTTATTTTTTTTAGTTGTAGAAGACCATAATACGTTTATTTAATTTATTTATTTTATATGGTCCTGAGGATTGAACCCACTACCTCCCACATGCTAGGCAAGTGCTCTACCACTAAGCCACAACCCCAGCCCCGGTAGAAGAATATTGTAAACACTGTGCTCATCACACATTTTAGACATGAGAATGAACACCAGCAAAGACCCAGTAGTGTTGGAAAGGTTCAAGGATTTTTGAAAGGACACCAGCGCCCTGGCTGTAGGTATAACGGAGCCTTAGATTGGAGTAGAGGTTTGTGGGTAAGGCAGTAATGTTATTGGTTTTCCACTGTAGAGCATCCGTTGCCTAACTTGGCTCTGAACCACTTGGAGCAACAGAAGGAACTGAAGTATGATTTTATGCTGGCCGTTTAAAGCAAAAAGTCCTTTGGCTGTTTCTCTAGTTCATATTTCCTTCTTATTCACTGCCTTTCTTTCTGTCTAGTCCCTCAAACCCCTCTCTCTTAGATAGATGGCCTCTTGCCCATCTTTTCCACTCACCCCATAAGTCTCCAGAATCTTTCCTCTGTTATTCCGGATGACTTAACTTTATGTAGCTATGGTTCAAAATCAAAAGTTTCCAGGTCACACATGAATGTCCAACTCCCAGTTAAATACCCTGCCAGCAACTGTCAGCTTTGCAGGGGGAGCCTCCAGCTACTCTGATTAAGATCTACCCTCCTTAGAAGGCAGTTATTTTCTACTCTGTTCCTTTCTTTTTCTAATGATCATCATCAAACATTTGTATATGCAGCATTTTTTTAGGAGGTAATATTTGGTGCATTCTAGATTACCCTGTGATTTCTTTCTGGTTTAAATCTTTGTCTTGCAGCTTAGAGCTTTCACAGACAACAGAGACGACATGGCTTTGGGGCATGTGATCGTATTGCTTCAGCAGGAGTGGCCACGAGGAGAGAATCTTTTCTTGAAGGCTGTTAATAAGATTTGTCAACAAGGAAATTTCCAATATGAGAATTTTTTTAATTATGTTACAAGTATCCTTTTTCTTGTTAAAGCGCCAACAGGTTCTGATTTCTTAGAAAATGAATGAACCACTCTGGGTAAAAATACTGGTTCTTTTGGAGAAAAAGGGAAAGAATGGTGATTTAAAGTGGGGCTGTGACTATTGGTTTCATAAAAGTCTTAAAAGGCTTCAAAGATGTAATTCAGGTCATCAGGAGTATCAACAACTACGTTCATTTTTCTTTTCTAACTGAGCTCTAAGAAGGTGTCCAAGATGCCTGAAGTAATAACTTACAGGTTGTGGACAAGCCCAGGCTGGCTGGTTTAGCCATAGAAAATGATAGTACCCTGGCCTTCATCTATCCAAAGAGTGCCCCCCTCTCCTTTCCTGGGACATTGACTGTCCCCTGAGATTGCTTATTAGTACATCATGCCACACTGTCACAGCTACCAATGAGCACCCACCAAAGGTTCTGGTATCAGAAATGGGCAGTGCTTTATTTCACAGTTAGGGAAAGACCTTTGAATTGAAGGTTATACACCAGCTTGGGTATTTTTATTTCATTGCTTAACACATTATTTTGAGTTATAAGATGTATTCTGTCTTTGTCCAAGTACTCAGAGCAATGAGTTAAAAACTGTTAGATGCCTTTTGAGAATCTAATGAAAGTCATATAGCTTTTCACCAGAAAAATGTGTACGTGAATGTCATCAACATTTTGCATGAAATTTCCAAGTTTCACAGATCCTTCTTTCCCTGAAGCATCTAAGAATCCTTGCCACACTAGGTATTTTATGATTTATGTTCTATAACACAAAACAGTCCATCCCACACCAAACACCTCTTTGATTTCCTATTAAAAAAAAAATTGTTTTTGCTCTTATGAGCATGTAGACTCTGCTAAATTATCACTGGAAAAAACACATTTTCCTAATATTCTTCAGCCAGGCACATCGGAAGCCAGAACTCTCTTTATGAGGCCGCTGGGTTGATCTAAGAATCCTAAGTTTTGGAATCCGATAGACCTGGATTTCAGATACTCTGCAATCATTAGTGGGATTCGAAGGGCAAGTCTGTCAACTGCTGGGAGCCAGTCCCACCTGAGAGCACTGAGACCTTGTCTTTACGTGTGGTTAACCTGAATGTGGCTGCAGACATTGATATGCTGGAGGAGTTTGCCTACTTGAGAACTCAGGAAGGTGGGAAGATTCATCTGGAATTACTCCCCAATCAAGGAATGCTGATCAAGTAAGTAGACTATCTTTTGCTCTTCTAAGCCAGGTGCTCACCTTTTGTGTACTTACGTGAACTATATGTAAATTTCAGTACCTTTTCAAAGTGTAATAGAAAGGAAGCCAAACCTTGTTTCTGTTTTTGAAGGTCAGTTTGATTCTGGATATCTTTTGAAAGACTTGTGTTTTCTTAACTAAAGGATATTTTGAAAAAAATATTTAAATTGGAGTATTTCTGTCAAACTTCTTCACTAGATAGAAGGTTCCTTTTCTTTCCAAAATATACACTGATTTTGTAAATTTCTGATGAGACAAAGGGTTTTTAACAAAGAGCAACCATATTTAAAGATGTTCTGGGTTAGGAAAATTTATTAGGAAAAACTACAGATTTTATTTATAAAACTATACTTGAAGCCCTCATTGCTTATATTGCACAAAGTGGAACAGCTCATTGTAGTACCTCTAGAAAGAAGCCACCTGTCCCCAGGTGAAGGTGGGGGTGCTGGCTCTCAGGCCTGCCCCCTATACCACAGGATGTTACCTAAATTTCGGGTTGGCTCAGATGAAAATGTGAAGGTAGTGACCATTTATGATTTTTAAATAGCTCATAATTTTGCTTCTCTCCTCGATCTTCATTGTAGTTTGGGTAATATCTCCTCCCTGCTGTGAGTGCCACGTGCAGTTTTATTTTCATACTTCTCCTTTGCTTCCTGCATACTCAGTTTGTCTGCAAGTCAGTGTTAGAGGTACTGCAAGGGACTGACCCCGAGTGGGAAGAAAGTACCTCAGTGTGGAATAAAAGAATTTCTAGTTATTGAAAGCAAAAATCCACATCTTGCTCTGTCTTTGGAGAGTCTTAGAAATATTGAGGAAGGGAAATAAGAAACATTTATTCTGGATTTCTACAACCTCAGTAATTTGACACATAGCAAACATTTCTGTTTATGTCCTAGAAAACAATAGCGTCTTGTGGAATCCATTCTAAAGAATGGAGAGATGAACTGGTTTTTTGTTTTTGTCCCCTTCATCTTGTAAATGATACTGAATATTCTAAACACTTAAAACAAAAGGACAAATGCTCTTTTTTTGAAAACCTGAAACCCTTATGCATGAAGGTGGCTTAAGCAAGATGGGCTGGCATGCTCATCTTCCCTTCTCCCCTCAGTTTCCTAAGATGGTGAATCAAAACTATGGGAAAAATAAATAATGGCATGGTTCAAAGTACTCCTGACATTGTGTGGAAATAGATCACTTTTTGATATGAGAGCCCAGGGAATCCCTTTTGTATTAGGATTCCTAGGTTTTGAAACAGAATATACAAATATACCTTTAATAAAGCTAAAAATTAGCTAAAAAGTTAATCAATAATCCTCATACAGATGGTCCTAACATAGAAGGATCCTCAGCTAGAACCAGACTCCACCTACATGGGTTAAACATGCAGAGGATGAACACATCACCTAGATCCTGCTTCACTGCTGGGGGATGGTTGAGAGAATGGGCTGTCAGATACAGTGGAACCTCAGTCTTCCTTGTTCTGAGCTTCTCTTCTCTTCTTGAACTGAACAGTACCATGGGCACATGCAGGCAATCCCTAGGACAAGGAATTAAAGCAAAGAAGCATCAAATACCCCGACAGTGTCACTAGGAGGGGTTGTTTGTGTAAAGGGCACCCAGCCTGCATTCCCAGGCTTTGGGGCAGTTCTAGGCTCTCCCATGTTGACCTGTCTAACACTTAATACTTAATTTCTTCAAGCATCCTGTAGAAGACAAGCCTCTTGGGAAACCTGAAGTTTCATTGGTTTGGAAACAGGAATAGGGATTGTTACCTAGTGATCTGACCTGGTAGGAATCTGCTGGGTCTTCTCTCTGTGGGTCTCAAAGTAAAGTTGAAGCCTGTATTTCAGATAGCGTATACCTAAGCTACAGAGGAGAAGCAAACTGCGTAAGACAGTGAGCTTTTACTAACTGAGGTGTTATTAGACTCTTGAATAAAACTATCTATATTCCTTTTCCCTTTGGGTTCCAAACAAATTCTCTGAAGCCATTGCAGACCTTGTGGGTGGTCCCTCCAGATGAGTGGCAGAGATGTTGTGAACAGTGTACAGCTCCTCCCCTTGGGTAAGGTTGTGAGTCGTCCTAGTTGTGGCATCTCCGATGCAAGCAGGTACAGTACAAACCCCAAGGGCACCTGGTGTCTGACCTAAAGGAGAGATAAGCTCTTCATCTGTTACGTGAAGTGTTTTAACATAGAGAAATGTTTCTGTGCTGATATTTGCAGTATCTTATTAGATTGGGTTAAAATGGAAAACGATATGTTGAATGAGGTGAATACCAGCTAATATGCTCAATCTTTGTTGTTACAGAATTCTGCAAAGCCATGGGTCCCAGACTCATTTTCCCCCATCAGTTGCTTTTCTCAATACTTGGTTGGACTTCAGACTCACACTTTATCAAAAACATTGCCAGCCCCTCTAGTCCTGTTGGAAGGCCCTTTCAGTCTGGGGTTTCAATCCTGTCCCTGGTGGTCACACAAAGTCACCAGGTGTATTTCTGGGACTTTTGTGGGAATGAGAAGAGTACAGAGTGAAGGAGGCTGGATTTGAACTCGTGTCTTCTCAAATGCTGACCCCTCTCCTCTACTACCCAGTCACACTGCCTCGTCCTCTTCCTCACTGATGGCTTTTAATACCAAATCTCACATGGGCTGAGCTCTGGGACCAGGAACCAAGATGCCTCTGGACTCGCACCAGCAGCGGGTGCAGTAAGGGCTCACTAGCTTCTCCCCAGTCTCCCCGAAAACACTCCGTGGCCAGGGGCTTGTCCAGGTTACAGTTTCTGTACAGTCCGCTTCCAGTCTTGTGTACCTTCTCCGGAGTGTTGTTTTTGCAGTGCAGGGTGCGTTGGTGTGGGTGTTTGAATGCTGCTGTTTGCTGTTTTTTAAAGGCCTTCTAGCCCTCCCATGGGGTTACTGCAGCAGGAATTCTTACCTGTGCTTCAGCCCAGCATACAGACTGCTGACAGGTACCAAGTGGAAAACACCTGCTCATAGTGTGCTGTGTGTCAACATGTTTTACTGCCCATGGTTTCCAGCTCTTTGTTCCTCAGTGCTCTTTTTCATGCTTTATTTAATTTTTTTAATTTGTTCCGCATTCCTTGGCAAACCATCTGGTTGTAATATTGTAACATTTCCTATTTTTTTTCCATAAGTTGCCAGTGTGTTTGTGTCGAATTTAAAAATCATTATGGATCTGGAAAAAATACTTATATAAAGCTGTATTAGATTAAGCGCTAAATTATGATTCACTTTTGATAAAACATGAAGCTTTCAGTCATAAGTATTTAAGAATGCTGAAGTTTAAATAAATTTTTATTCGTGGATTTTAATATTAGTGACCATACTGTCTGTGGTGTAAATAAGCATTAGCACAGCTTTTCTCCTGACACTGATGCTAGTTTTTCAGACCTTGTCTTTCTGAATTGAAAATATTTGATAGGCTAAATGATGCCATATTTATTAGCTAGTTTATCCTTTTCTTACCCATAAAAGCTAACTACAGTCATCTGTCATCTACTGATGGGAATGAGTTCTAAGAAATTCCTCATTAGGCAATTTCTGCATCATGTGACCATCATAGAGGGGACTTACACAAAAGGAGGTGATATGACTAATGCACACCTAGGTTATATGGGACCCGCGTGGTCCATCATTGACTGAAACATCTTTCCTAAGTACATGACTGTAATTCCCATGTTCATCTAAACTTGCTAAAGGGCTAGAGGCTCCACTAGAACTATCATCATGTGGGGCTACTCTTTATATATGGAAACAATACCGCTGGACCTCGCTTAGCAGAATGGAGCATTTAATTACATTTTGATTGTATTAAGGGGAGAAATTGCCCCTCAACTTACTGCCTGCAAATATATACTAGTTACTTCCGCTTGAGCAGAGGATCGCCTCCAATGTGAGGTTGCAGCCTGGGACCCAGCAGAGCAGGATCAAGGTTGCATCTAATAGTCTGCATCTGCTCCCAATGGAACCCAGAGCCTCCACCCCACTGCCACCATGTCCCAGCTCCTGAGTTCACCAGCCAGACTGGGTTAGGACAGTCCACAAAGAGCTGTGCGTTTTCCCCACAGCCCGATGTTTCACTGCATACTTCTTTTAAACATCCATGGGTGTAGTAGAATGTTCTGTAATATCTTTACTAGTCTAACAAAGCCTGATTTTTTTTCTTCTATTGCATTGCAATTTTATGCCTCCTGATGCACTTATTTTATATAGTTCATACAAGTTTTAAAAACAAACTTTTAGAATGATCAATAGTTTTGTTTGCACACTACATGAAAATCTCACTTTCCAGCTTGTCTAAAGAGAGTTAGGCGGTAGGGGCAGGGAACAATGGTGGCTTTTGTCTGTCTCAGTCTACCACTTATTACCAAACTAGTAACCAGAATCCTTTCCTCTTAATCGAGTCCACTGATTTTTGCTGGATTTTTCTTTTCCTCTCTGCATTTTGTGGTCTTTAGTTTTCCAGGATTTCATTTGTGATTTCCTTTTCTAATACACAACTTTTGGGACACAGGGAGTACTTTGCTTGTGTTCCCACCGACCCTTCCACGCAGGGCCCTCCAAGTCTCCTGGACAGATCTGGTCTTTCTAGGACTTTGCAGGCCTCTGTCAGTGATTCTGCCTCTCTCCCAACCTGTGCCACATTCTTGTCTCAGGACCCTCAAGTCCCCCTGCTTTCTCTCAAACAGATGAGAGTCTGGATGGGCGCAGTGCTCAGAGGAGCTTCCCTTTTCTGGCACTCTGGGAGAGGGACAGCAGGGACCCCAACGGCTGTGTTGAGGCCCAGTCCTTTCCAAGCCTTCAGGGAGCACCAGCCGCAGGGGCCCCAGTGGAAACTGTCCTCAGTGATTGGTGCACTCTGGGTTCCCTCCTCTCTGCTGCTGCCTCTCCAGAGCCTGCTGTCCTGGCTGGACACAGCGCTTTGTGGCCAGTGTGGGTAGCAACCATTCTGCCCCAAGTAACCGAAATGTGTGCAGGCCAGAGGTGGGGATGCATACCGCCAGAGCTCCAGGAGTTCAAAAGCAAAGCAGGTGGCAATTCAAGAACATTCAGCTGTTTAAAATAACTTGGTTTAGGGTGGGAAAGTGCCTCTAGCTTTCTGAGAAGAACAGGCAGGAGTGGTTGGCTGGTTGCAGCTTTTCTTTCTTTTCATTTTAAAAATGTGATTAGAACGTTTTACTTATTATGCTTAGAAACGAGGCAGGCTTTGCTCCTACCAGGTAGCACTGGGCAGTGGTGCTGCTGCTAACGCCTGCTCTCCATCTGTCTCCCTGTCCGCTGCCTCAGGCACCACACTGTCACTCGTGGCATCACCAAGGGCGTGAAGGAGGACTTCCGTCTGGCCATGGAGCGCCAGGTCTCCCGCTGTGGCGAGAATTTGATGGTGGTGCTGCACAGGTTCTGCATAAATGAGAAGATCCTGCTCCTTCAGACTTTGACCTGAGCCGGGGCCTCTGCTCCAGAGGCCGCAGGAGCGGCGACGAGCGCAGCTGTCAACAGCCCTCGAAAAGAACTTCGGGGTCCAGCTCCTCGGTCGCTTAACCGTAGTTCCCGAGAGCTAAGAAGCTACTTCTATTTTCAAGAGTCGCTTTTTGTAATTTTTGTAAAACAAGAGAACCCATCTGTTTTGTAAATAAAAATCATCCTAAAATTTGAGGTTTTAAAAAATTTAGTTCTTGTGAATATCTAAACCAGGACGCAACTTCTACGCTTACAAGCATGGGAGGGGGGACTCAGCACACTGAATGAGTAATGAATTTTATTATGTAGATTCTTAAAAAGACATCTGCCTTCCTTGATCTCAAGGTTTTATTTCCTGTAATGAAGCCTTGGTAAGTATTACATACTAACGTAAAGTTTGGCCTCTTCCAATTGCACCAGGGTGAGTTGTATCTCCACACACCCGCCTCTGAAAAATGATGGCTACAGAAGGACGTGTCTCTTTCTTTCTCTCTCTCTCTCTCTCTCTCTCTCTCTCTCTCTCTCTCTCTGTCTCTTTCTTTCTTTCTTTCTTTCTTTCTTTCTTTCTCTCTTTCTCTCTTTTTTTCTTTCTTTCCTTCTTTCCTTCCTTCCTTCCTTCCTTCCTTCCTTTCTTTCTCTTCCTTTCTTCCTTTCTTCCTAATATTTTTAGTTGTAGATGGACACAATTATTTATTTATTTATTTTATGTGGTGCTAAGGATTGAACCCAGTGCTTCACACAACCTAGGCAAAAGTGAGCCACACCCCAGCCCACATGTCTGTTTTTTAACCAGGACTCAAAGTTAACTGGCACATCCATTATCAAATACCTTGCTTGTGAAGGAAAGCAGTGCCATTGGAACTAACCAACCTCTCCAGGGCACTGTCAACAGCCACTGTCATTCTCAGGGCCTAGAGTCTGTCCCCCTGTGCACTGCTGCTGTGCTCTGTGATGCTCATCAGCTGCATGTGCTTGAAAAGCCCACAGGATAGCTTAAGAGTCGGCAAGAGAGAGCTCACTTTGCAGTTCCTAAGCAGCTAATCAGGGGTTATGATTTCTATTTTTGTAATGTGAACTAAAGTACCAACCCAGAGTTGGGTGGAATCTTGGAAGTGATCTCTTTTTCTAAAAATAAGTCAAACTACAGATAAACAATGATACTAAGCAGAGAGAGAATAGTAATACAGCCCTGAAGCTAGTTGCTCCTTGGCCCTGTGGCATTTATGTCTGTACATTTCATCTGCCTTCTGTTGTCCACTGCAGAATTTTGCAAAGAGGAAAAAGCAATTGAACAATAAAGCCTTCATGAAGAGTTGATGGTGTATATAACGGGAGGGGAGGATCAACAAGATGCCCAAAGTAAGGAACTCAGACGTCCAGGCTTGACCTTGCTGTTTTGAAGGGCTCAGTTTTTGGCCCTTCTGCCAAAAAAGGAACTTCTCTCTCACTCATCTCTTTTTGAGTGATAAGAACACAATGTGAGACCCAGTCTCTTAAATGTTATTATTTGTCTTCCATAACCGAAGCTTACATCCATTGAGGTCCTCAACTCACAGCCCCTGGCAACCACCGTTCTCTGCGTCTTTGAAGTTGATGAGTGAATGAATAAAGTGTGGTATACAATAAAATAAAAGTGCAAAGAACTACATTTGGGGGGAGACAAAAATTCAGGAAAGAGAAAGGAGTCAGAGAAGCCACATATGAGAAGGTGCCTTATATGAGTAGAATCATGCAGTGTTTGTCTTTATTTCTGCTTTAATAATGGAAAATTATTCAGCCTTCAAAAAAGAAGGAAATCCTGCTGTATGCAACAACAGGGAAGAACCTGGAGGCTATGCTAAATGAAATGAGCCAGAAACAAAACAAACGCTGCATGATCCTGCTGGCGGGAGAGACCTCGTTCTCTAGTATAGCTTCTATGGCTCCTTTTCCTTTATTTCTTTTTAAAAAATATTTGTTAGTTGTAGTTGGACACAATACCTTTATTTTATTTATTTATTTTTATGTGGTGCTGAGGATCAAACCCAGGTCCTCGCACGTGTGAGGCGAGCTCTCTACCGCTGAGCCACAACCCCAGCCCCCTGTGGCTCCTTTTTCTCCTGAATTTTTGTTTCTCCCCAAATTTAATTGTTTATGCTTTTATTAACTCTAAGTTAAGCTCTTGAACTTTCAGTTGTTCACCTAAAGCCACAGTAGGAGTCAGTAAAAGGAACTGATTGACAGGAACCACCCATCTTGGAAGTGACTTAAGATTGTAAATTGGAAAACAACTTGTTATAGATGCAGCATTACAGTAATGGCGGTCTATGATATTTTCTGCTAAACTTGGCACTCAAGATAATATCAAGCAATACCTCAGTAATCCTTAAACAAAAATCAAGGAAGCAAGGTTTGCCCTGGTGTAGTAGCACCCCCTTTCTCCACAGAAAAGTCTTAACTGGGCTTCTCCAGAAAACTTCACCATGGCTGATTTTAGGATTGTCTGCAAAAGAGTTCAATGTAGATAAACTTCTATTTTCATGCTGCCCTGTTTTACTTGGCCACTGGCCAGGAAGAAATCAGCACTCCAGGTGCTGGACACCCCCTTACTAGTTTTTCACAAATGTATCCAGTATAGTAGTTTGTAGAAATGTACAAACAAGGCCTCTGGCCTTGAGTTGGGCTTCACAGAGATGTCTACATTTTTTAAGATAAGGGAAGTTACCAACTGGGCTCCATGGTAACAACTGGCAGGGGAGGAAAGAAAGGGGAAAAGAAGCTCTCCCCTTCTCAGATGTTGTCCTTGAAGGGTTAACTTGCCCAGAACAGTGAAAGAAAAATCAGCTTTTATGTGAACTTCAGACTGTGAACTTCTGAGCCCCTCCCCTTACATGCTGGGTATAAAACTCTGAAACTACCTGAACTTGGGGTTCAGGGGATTGATTGATTACAGCAAAAGCTGTGCCCTCTGAACCTGGCTGCAGCCAAATAAAACTGTTTCCTGCTATCTTCGGTGCCTTGCCTCGTTTTTCCCTACAACATTGGATGGCCTTTTCCAGTGCCACCCACTGTTCCTCTTCCACTTCCAAGCCCTAAACAGGCTTCTTCCTGTGACACACATAACTGAAGAGTCTCAGGATTCTGCCAGAGTGGCTCTTTTCTGCAAATTAGCAACCAAAGAGAGAGGATCCAAGGCTGAGATCAGTTCACAGAAACGTAGGTGACCAACTTGATTCCAACACACCAAATTGTGTAGAGGCAGCCGTTATCTTTTTAACCAATGTGAATTCTGATTGGTCCATATATTAATTCAATAATGTCTAACATTTACTGATCACTAGTTATCTGCCAGGCTTCAGGCAAAGGGTTTCAGTTGTATTTTCTCATTTGTAATAACCCCATGAGGCCAATAGAATTACATGTGGATGAAGAGGCTGAGGCTTTAAGGAGTCGTCTCTGTCCTGAGGTCATCAAAATGTAGCTTGACCTCTGCTGGAGAGGTTGGAATCTAGACCCCCCACTCTGTGATACTCCTCCTGAGCTTCCATATTTTTGCTGTGGTGTTGGACTCTGAAGATGAGATAATTAAAGATAGAAAAATAAAACTCAGGGCATGTTCTCTACCTCCAGGAAGTTGGCAAATAGGAGGCCCACATACAGCTATTTGGACTGTAGGCCTGTGAGTGGTGTGAAGAAGACACCGGGAGACAGGCACAGAGGAAGAGGAGGAGGATGAAACAATTTTACTAGAACTTAAAATATGAAGATCTTTATGAGATTGAGAGGCATCCTGGAAATTTGATGACATTTAAAAGCAAACAGATCCTGTTGAGGACTAGTCAGTAGGACGTGTGAACCAGGTGCTGGAGGTGAACACAAGAACAAGAGAGGCTCCATCCCAGCGTTCACTGGACCACAGCCTGAAGATGGCCCCATCTCCATGGGCTCTGAGTTCCCCTTTGGGCACCACTATCCTTCCCTCCCAGGAGCTTGTTCCCTCTCATCATTTCATCTTTAGTCATAGCCTAGAGCTCACTCCAGTTCCACCTGTCAAAGGAATTCACATACGTCTTTGTGAAAGATGTATATTTTACCTCTCCCAAGACTACTGACCACCTGGTCCTAATGGTGAGATTTCAAGCACCATGCTTGCCTCCCTAAGACGAGTTTTCTGAACAGTGCTCTCACAATTTTAATCTTTAAAAAAAAAAAATCCTCATGAACTCTTGCTTTCTTGTAATCTCATCTTTTTTTAACAACTTCTGCACAAATTGTTCAGGCTCTTAGGTATTAGTTTCCTAGGGCTGTTATAACAAAGTGCAATAAACCTGGTGGCCTAAAAGAAAGAGAAATTTATTTTCTCACAGTTAAAGAGGTTACAAATCCAAAATTGAGATGTCATCAAGGCCATGCTCCTCTGAAACTCCGGGTGGAACCCTCTTTGCCCCTCACCAGCTTGCAGTGGGTGGCCGCACCGCTGACATTGTTGGCTTGTAGATGCACCATTCTGATCTCTTCTGTCATTGTGGGGGTCTCCAGTGTGTCTCTTCAGGTCATTTCCCTCTTCTTACAAGGACACCAGTCACAGTGGAGGTATAGCCCTACCTCCAGTGTGACCCCATATAAACCAGTTGCATGTGCATGGACCCCACTTTCAAGTAAGGTCAGATTCTAAGGTGCTGGGGTTAGAACCTTAACATTTATTTTGAGTTGTCACAATTCAATCAATCATACTTTGGGAACCATATTTTGGGAGTTTTGTTTTGTTGTTGTTTGTTTATACAATCTTAGAGAATAATACCAATTTCCCTGTTCCTCATAAAGCTATCCCAAGTTTTTGC